TCCCCCTTAATAATAAAAACCTTCATTTAAAAACTGCATTTTGTGTTGACTTGTGTTATCTTTGTCTAATATTTAAATTTGTTTGATGATCTGAAACATTTTAGTGTGACAAACATGCAAAAAAATAAGAAATCAGGAAGGGGGCAAACACTTTTTCACACAACTGTATCTGTCCAGTGGAGTTTGCAGGAGACTGAAGCATCTTTCAATCTTTAATCCTGGTGCAATGAGCATAAGCTATGTTGAAAGATGAATTGATTAACATTATTATCCTTGAAGGAAATGGATTAAAATCAGGACATTATTCAGGACCCTGACCCCCTTTAAAAGGGCAATGTGTAAGACCACATGTTCCACAGAATTAGGGGTCAGCATGCATTCCACCTCTACTACTGTGTCCACACGCTCTAAATGTACAGTGACCAATATGCAAAATTCAACCAAACTGCTGAAACTCTGAGGCTACAGCCACACTACTGCGATTTCAAATGTAAACGGAGTTTTCAAACAAAAACGTTCTCCGTCCACACGGAGTTTCAACACCGTTTTTGAAATGATCTCCATCCAGACCAACACGCCTGAAAACGAATATCAGGCGACTCTTCACGTACAGTGGGCATGATGGTGGGTGACGGTGTAAACAGGAAGTAGATTGGTTGCTTAGTTTTCAAAAATACGACAGAGTAATAAAGTAGTCTTTAATAATGAAAGGTCGTGTTTGATACTTAAGATCTTCTCTAAAATCTTCCTCTATGAACTCAAAAAGACAGTTCGTGGAAAGTTTTAGAAATTTTATTTTTCAGACTTCGTTACAAAGCTGCAGGTCTTTATCTATCTCTCTCTCTCACATTTACTTTAAAATCAACACTTACACGTAAAGGTTTACTAGATTATGATCCATAAATGTGGTCAACACACGTCTCTCACTCGTTTCCTCCTTGTTGTCTGTTCTGACTCGTAGCTCTTCTGGTGGCTTAACTATCTGTCCTACTGAATAGCATTTACTGCTAACCGCGACTTCAGATGTCTGCTCCGTAGGGCTGATAACGCCGCTGGTCACTGATCGCTCCATTAACAGCTGCTTCCTCCGTAATAATGGAGACTTTAAATTTAAATATTCAAACTATAAAACGCACACGGAACTTGGACGTGTTATTAACAAGCACCCAGAGCAGCTCTACCTCTTTGACCTCTTGTGTTGGACTGAGGACAGACTGGATCATAGGTAGCCAACACGGTGCCCGCGGGCACCCTGTTGCCCACAGGGACCACGTGAGTCGCCTGCAAGGCATGTTCTAAAAATAGCACTAGTCACCATGGAGCTCCATCTAAAATTGTAGTTGCTGTTCTTTTTTTAATCAAAAACACTTGCATTAGTGTAGATTTTAAAATGACAATATTTCTTGTCATAAGAGAGTCGGGTACCCGGAGGCGCACGGCAGACAGCCAGGACTAGGCCACCGCACCGCACTAGGTTTTCAGGTTCCGAATGACGGGCGCTTCCTGTTGGTGCCAGACGCGCGCCGCGAGCGCACCCCGTCATCAGGTCCATAAATCCTCGGAACAGGCCGCGGGGCAACAACTCAGGGGTGGCGGGGGTAGAGGCGAGGCAACTCAATCCGACCGAAAAGGCCCAGACTAGAGGTTTGAACGCGGGCGCCCGAAGACGCTCGGCTATAGACGAGACTTTTTACTACTTTCTTCGTGGAGAAAAAGGTACCATTGGAAAAGCTGGTGTCGGTGACAACAGACGGGGCTCCCGCGATGACGGGCCGGCATGCAGGCTTCATTGCGCAATGCAAAGGTGACCCAGACTTCGCAAAATTTCTACATTACCACTGCATCATTCACCAGCAGGCGCTATGTGCAAAAGTAACCGGCTTTAATCATGTGACGATACAAAAATATCAGAGATGCGATACCTCTGACTTTCAAATGTTGAAACAGATTAACAGAAATAAAAGTTGCATGTTTAAATATGTATGTGTAGCTATACCATCATTGTTGTGGAAATCATTAATAATTATTGTGAGGAATAATTAACTGACGTGATCAAACAGTCTCTTCACATATATTATTATTATTAAGGTGATCTGTGCAACTTTGTTATTCAGGAAGTTTGTATCAAATAAGTAGCCCTTCGTACTACTCGGTACCCTTGAAGTAGCTCTCAGTTTAAAAAAGGTTGGTGACCCCTGGACTGGATGCTACAGTGACTCATGATCGCCTCTCCAGGTACAATTGGTATTAGAAGACAGGACGCTAGCTGGTTAGCATGCTCATTTCAGTAGAGGGCTGCGGTGGAAGAGTCCTTTTTGCTTAGGAAGGCTCCCCACTGAGTGAAATGGCCCTGAAGTATCTAAGTGGCCGCCATGATGAAAGCTGTTTGAATTCTCTAAATGCCAAGGCAAGGTGCTTCAATGCTTCCTTTATTAGCTCCTTTAGTATAGGAAACACTGGACCTTCCGTTGCAAAAGGAAAGTAGATAATACCGCCCACAATGCCTTGAGGCGGCAACATTTAAAGTGACGCACCATTCAGCCGTCCATGAAAACAAACGATATGCTTATCTTACACAGGTTTAACAATTATACTCATACAGTCATAAAGTAATGGATTCATGTTGATGAATATGAACATTGATATGAACAACATGAACATATTGAACCTTTAAACTGACATGATGATGATGATGTAAGTCTAATCCAAAACGTTATATATCTTGACAGGTATGGAAATGTGGTGATTGAAAATTCCATCCACTAACACACAATCCAAACTTACCCGTCCTCTCTTTCAACCAAAAACTGTATCCAGAGACACAGCCTCCCTCCAGTGACCACTCACAACATGCTGGACGACTCAACAGATCCCATCCTTTCCAACATCAGACGCATCGGCCTCTTTAACTCCAGGAAGGACCGCGTCAAGGTAGACAACATCCTGAATGCTATTTTATGTGTTCATCATCAATGTGTTCTTTTCTAGAGTCCGTTTCTGGGAAGCTCTTAGGCATGACTTTCCTTGTGATAATGAAGAACAATACTTTGGTCAGAACAAGAAGGGCTTTGCAGCAGCTCTATGAAGCTGCAGACAGCAATGCTTTGAGCTAACTCACTAAAAAACACAACAATCAACGTAATGCTGAGACTAGAGAAAATGTCAGTAGGATTCATGATCTTGGAACTGTGAATGTCTGTACAGAAATGTGTGCAATGAGTGAGAACTCTGGTCGTATGCTGGTGTCAAAAATCAGGGAGTTAAACCATTGTTCTGTAAGATTAGACGTTCAAACAAGTGAAACACTAACATTATAAAGCTACAGTTTACTGTGGGAACTCTCTCAGCTTAGAAGTCAGCTATTCATCAAAAGGAGAAAGACTACATAATGAATGATTTGTATTGAGCATGGGTGTGTTCGGTTAATTCTAAGGTAATCTGTCCATTACATTTAGAGATACAGGTGAGCCACACATATCTACAACAAAGGTTGTCAGAGTCCAGCAGGTAAATATGTTGTGAACAATGTTGACAGTTTGATTGTTTGTTTATTTTCATATCTGTGTCATGCCAAGCAACCGGCCCATCCCAGGGTTAGCCTAACCCTAGTTTAAGAAACATTCATCTTCTTGTAATACAAAAACAATACACTACAAAACTGTAGCATTGGCACCAAATGAAACTTAGTGAAATGTAAAATGAAAATGGTGAAAGTTAAAGGGCAATATGCCCATTTTTATTATTGTTACGACTCGCGAAACCACAGGGAAAACAGGACCCAGACAAAAGAATAAGGTGTGACTAAAACAGTCTTTACTTATCAGCAGAGGTTCGGTACACAGGAGGGCAGTCAGAACAGGCAAACAAATCAGGCAGGGACGAGGAAAAAACGAGGTTGAGGAAAAACAGGCAGAGATCAGAGAAACCAGGAACATGAAGACTAGTAAAATCACTGGACCACTTGACACAGAGGACGAAGACGAACTGGCACAGAGACAGGCGAACACAGGGTTTAAATACACTGGGGAGGGATAGGTGATTAGACACAGGTGGGATCAATCAGGGGCGGGGCAGTTGGATGGTGAAAACTACACAACAAAACCGTCGAAGGAACCTGACAGATGATTCTGTCATCAAGGCACACCTGTCAGTTGGAGGTCTAAAAAGAGAAGTTTCCAGAATGGTCAAACATAATGACATGAAGAAAACCGTGGTTGGTCGGCACAACTGTGTTGTGAATGGACCAGAGTGCGGAGACCCTGACTTGGTAGAGCGTGATAACAGTATGAGATTAGCCGAGGTATTGAGAAAAGGAGGTAGAAAAGTGGTAATAATTTTGTCGCGACTAGCACGAAGAAAATCAGGAGTAGTGGAGATTGTGGTGGCAGACCAGAGGATCCAGACGGTTCGGAGTTTAAAATCATTCTGAGGTTTGGAGAAGAGAGGGGTATCTGCCATGAGCCCGGTGAAACTAACCACCGTATTAAAGAATCAGATTGGAGATATTCTCGTGGCGAAAGTTTTTAAAGACGGAAACTTGTTGATTGTTTGTAGAAATGAAGAGCAAAGAGAGAGAGCGGACAGGTTTAAAGAAATAGGGCGGTTTAAAGTAGTGAGTACAAACCGTATCCAAAAAGAAAGTACGTGGAGTAAGGGAATGATTTGGGGGGTGTCGGTTGGAGTCATGATGGAGGAAATGAAAGCGAACCTTAAAGGACGAACTATAAGGAAATAAGGAATAAGGAAAGACAGCGATTACGTTGTGCTGGATTTTGAGGAGGAAGAACTACCACAGAAAGTCTCTTTAGGCTACCTGAGTTACACTGTTAAGGAGTTTATTCCAAAGACTGTGAGGTGTTACAACTGCCAAAGGTTAGGACATACAGTTAAGCGTGTAAATGCAGAAGGAGGTGTGCAAGGTATGGAGAAGACCACGAGTACGGGCAATGCAGACATGAACACCCAAAGTGTTGTAACTGCGGGGGTGATCACAGCGTGGCTTACTATGGGTGTGAGGTGTTGAAAAGGGAGAGGGAAATACAGCAGGTGAGGGTGCAGAATAAAATCACCTATGCAGAGGCAGTGAAGAGGGTCGGCCAGAGTGGAGGGACGGATGGAAGAAGTAAGGCAGTAAAACAACCCCCAGCAGTCCCAGACCAGACAAATGAGGGTAAAATAATGATCGACTTAAAAAAGCTCGTCACTTTCATAGCAGGGGTAGTAAATGCTACAATGGAGGTCAAATCCAAAACACAGAGAATCCAGATAATTTAAAGCAGCAGTTCACCACCTTACATAGGACTAACGCGAGGAAGTAAGACATGATCTCAGTATTCAAGCAAGTCAAGAGCAAATATGAGACAGTTTTGATAGACAATGCTTCACCTACATTGGAATCTAAACCAGATGCACATGCATACAGGAAACATGGTTAAGATCAAGTTTGGACTTCAGACTAGCTGGATACACATGTGTTAGGGGGGGTGCTCTAGGAGGATGTGCCACATTTATTAGTGAAGACATTTCACTAGAGTTCATTGTTATTCATTTTTATAATCCTTGAGAGGTGAATAGATTGGCACAAATTGAAGGGCTAGGTGGCAACAAAGTGTTGGTATGTGGAGATATCAATGCACACAGCACGTTATGGGGTGGAGTAAGAACAGATGCAAACGGAGATGTAATTGTGACGAAGGACGACCTCAGACGGGTTTCGGAGAAGCAGCCGAGCAGGAACCGCACTACGCCCCTTGCGGAAGAGGACGGCAGTCAGCTGCTTGCGGACTAATATTAACGGCATTGAGTTAGTGAAAAGGCTTGAACGAGAGTGGCGGTGCGAAATGACGGCCGTGTCTGTAAATAGATTAGAGTTTATGTTGCTGTTCGGAGTTTGACTTTCAAGACTGTGTGCGTGCAAACAACCAGTAAGTAGACGTAAAGTTTGGCGTTAGTCCAATGTAGTCATAAGTGTTATATTGTGTCATTTGCACGGCAATCTATTCTGATAGTTAGTAGCTCGTTCCTTGTTTGCTAAGTGGTGACTGTAGGAGTCCCGGACCTGTTTATCACTGCCTGTATTCTGTCCCTGTGTGTCCTAATTAGAAACCAATGTTTTATAGAGGTTTTTACTAATTATTATTTCATGTATGTCTGTTTCAGAACCACACACACAATTGCTTGTTTGACTATTGTCAATAAACCTCTCAAAGGAACATCTTGTCTGGAGTGCATTCTGATCGATGCCCCCTGGTGGCCACAAGTTTTAATGAACCAGTAAAAATTATACAGTCTTTTCCCAGTCAATACAACAAATGGTCCTTCGAGCTGGATGAGAGTGGTCACCGTGGGATTGATTAAAGATGTTTCCATATCGGCAGAGGACTTCACGTCCTGCAGACGCCCGTCCCCGCCGAGAGACACGGCCACCAGCCTGGATGAAGATTACGCTGTCTCCATGCCAGCACAGCAGCGGCCTTACTACAGCGCGGAGAATTTCCTGGAGATTAAACGCCAGGATGACGCCTCTCACATCTCCCCGGCTAGATGAGGACTGGAGTGCTGTGCAGGGAGCGGCAGCTCAATATCCCTTCCAGCCTGAGTATGCACACACCCTTTTCCAGAGTACGCCTGCCTTTCATCGACGGAGGCCTGCAGCAGAAACGGCGCCAGAGATCCTTGAAGCCCTCCACAGGCTAATGGAAGACAATCACAGGTTGCAGCAACAGATGTCGGACATACACAGGCAACTCCCTGACCCACCACTGCTGCTACAGAGAGCCCACTCTCTTTCACAGACGTCTGAGCCCCCTCAGCAGCAGCACGTCGTGCAGGCTGACGACACGTCTCTCATTCCCCTCACCTGTGCAAGCTAGCAGTCACACTCTGCCTCCGGTGGATAATGATGACTGGCCACTGCCACCACCCCCTGTAACAGAAGATGTTGTTTACCAGCCACAACCACCACCACAGGACCTTGTGGCAGAGCTCACAATGCCGCTGAGAGACATGTGGACGAGATATCAGGAGCAGTCTTTCTGTGGCCCAGAGCCAGTTTATCCTGTTTCCCGGATGCATACACCAGAGTATTGTGAACCTTATACCCCACCAAGGAGGGAGTCACTGCCCAGCAGGCCGTTACCCTCCCACCACAAGGAGACTGTGTACCGCGGTCCTACGCCCAAAATCCCTGCATTCACTAAAGGAGATCCGAGGGAGTTTGCTCGGCTTAAGGTTGCTCTGGAGAACCTGCTGCCTCAGGATGCTACAGAACGCTTTAAATATCAGATCGTGGTGGATCCTCATTTACAGAGCATTTACTGCTGATCAACTGGGTCTGGCTGAGCACACATACCCGATAAATGCGCTTTTGAAGAAGCACAAAACACCTAAGATGCCTTCCTCTCCAGGCACTAGACAGAGTGCAACCTCTGTTGTTAATTGGGTCAGACTACCCCCACCTCATCACTAACCCTAACCTCCAGGTGGGCCGGCGGCAGTGAAGACAAGATTGGGCTCGACGCTTCAGGGACCAACCAAGCACATTAAGCAGCAGTCAACAGCACAACAATGTCTAAACATATCCACCCTTTCACCTGAGTCTGAGCTTCTGCAGAGTGTAGAGAGATTGTGGCAGCTAGATGTCCTTCCCTACAGGAGTGAGAAGCTTTCCACACAATCCAGGCAGGATCAGGAAGCAGTCCAACTGTTGGAGGCAAAGACCATACGAGTAGACGTCGATGGGATCCAGCGCTACGCCACTCCCCTCCTCAGGGTGAAGAACATGTCACAGCTCCAGGCATGTAAAGGGGCTGTGTTAGCCAACCTCCGCAGCACGGAGAGACGCCTGTTACGAGCCCCGAAAAGAGCAGCCGCTTACTGTGCAGAGATCAGAAAGCTGGAAAAAGCGGGCTATGCAGTGAAAGTGCCAGAGG